TACCTGATCGTTTATAACGGTAAACTATCTAGGTTATTTTCTTCAACCACTTAGGTCGGTCGTGGTTCATAAAATCGCAGTTTAATCAGGCATGGGTAACCACGAACTGACAGACATTTGTATTGATTAAAAATTTAGCTCAGTCCTCATTTGAATATGAATAGCACCTGTTTCTATCGCATAAACACGCCTGTGACACTGTGATGAATTTCTAATTATTTCAGGAAAGGCCTTGGAAGAGCGAGGCTACCACAGTGTTTCACCGTATTTCATCCCAAGAATTTTGCCGAACATGGCTGGGGGACAGGTGGGAATTAAATACGGTTTGCATGGACCGAACCACTGTGTAAGTACCGCATGCGCGACCGGCTGTCATGCTATAGGAGATGGCTTCATTTTGATCAAAAGGCACCAGGCTGACGTGATGGTTTGCGGCAGCACCGAGGCTCCAATCGTGCCATTGACTGTTGCTGGATTCTGTCGTTTGAGGGCGCTGTGCACCACTTTCAACGATGATGCGTCAAAGGCCAGTCGACCCTTTGACATTAGACGTGGTGGATTCGTTATTGGCGAGGGTTCAGGGGTGGTTATTTTGGAAGAGCTGTCACATGCTAAACATCGCAATGCAAAGATCTATGGTGAGGTGCTGGGCTACGGCCTTAGTGGAGACGGCTTTCACTTGACCATGCCGGACGCAGAGGGAAGGGGCACAGTATTGTGCATGTCACGAGCTCTGAAAGATGCTGGTGTGAAGCCGGCTGATATTGGCTACATAAATGCGCACGCAACCTCTACAAAACTCGGTGATGAAGCTGAGTGCAAATCTATAAGCAAAGTAATGCATGGCAATGATCATTTACTGGTGTCTTCTACCAAGGGGGCTACCGGTCATTTACTGGGCGCTGCTGGATCTCTGGAAGCAATTTTTACCATTTTGGCTTGCAACTCCGGAAAAATTCCACCAAATCTGAATTTAGAGAAGACCGATATTGAGGCACCTGTCAAATTCGCTCCTTCGAAAACCGTCAACTGGCTCAAAATAGGTTCTCGGCGCATTGGCCTTTGCAATTCGTTCGGCTTTGGTGGCACAAATGCCACCCTCTGCGTTGCAAATTTTGTTGACTGAAAAGCCACACTGGGACATACATCTGCTTTATGATTCATTACTTAATACTGTTTTTGCAACAGCAGCATTTGCTGCTTTTTTCACTGATCATTGGTCCGGTGATTGATTACCGGTTTGTTATCTGTTTGTTTTTTACTTTTCTAGTTCCTATGGGTTATTTTATTGTTATACGCATACTAAGTTTATGATCTGCTCTGCTCCGTTAAATTGGATCACTTCGCATTCGCAGTCACTTCTTAGGTTTAACTACTGTACTCACTTTGGTACTAGAATCGCCTCGCATTCTTGAAGCTTTTCTTTCCCTTTTAAAGCTTGTGGTTACACAGCGTTAGCAGACATTCTCTGCTATTAATATCCAGTAGTTAAATTAAAGCTTAGCTATGTAAATCGCTTATTAAACACAACGTAGTGATCATGGTAGAAGTTTTTAACGTAGTAGGCATTTTCGAAACTTGTGAGACCGACACCTTCCTACAGCTGGATGTCTTTTATAGCTGTCGATTGTAGCTATTTAAGATTCACTCTCTATGTAAGAGGGCTATCGCTTGCCTTACGTTTCGTTTTCAACATTACAACATTTTCAACGGGTGTTGATGCTGATCATGTGATAACTTATTCCAGATTTGAACATAAAGATAAAGTTTTGGCTAAAACAGCAGAGAGCAGTATTCAGTTTATTTCATTTAACGTTAGAGGTTACGTTGATTGGCGATCTTACTTTAATGAGAGATGGAAAATAGCATAAAACACGGTGTATTAATATAAGATGCAAAGAATAATATGGAAGATAGATGATTCACGAATACCGATATTTTGGCCTGTGTCTTACGAGCCTTCAAGGTAGAAGGCTGGCAGCGTTTCAGATTTTTTTTTGAAAGGATCAGCTGCTACAGACAACAACAAAAATCTCTACAGTGTACTAATTGACCATGATGAAGGCCCGTAAGATACAGGCCAAAAAGTCAGCATCGGCCTATCGCCCAACAGACCATCATATTATACTATAAATTGAATTAGCCACAATGCGTATAGCTTTCGCTGCATTCATACAGTAACGCGCACTAATTACATAAATTCATAACTTATTTACAAGATTAGGCAGAGAGAAATGCATGTCGAGATAAGTTCTTTTCACTTTTTAAAATATGTGCATCAAGAGAAGCACTACTCCGATAATGCATGTATCAAGAGTAGGTTTTTACTAAGTTGGATGCCTGTAACCACTAAAGCTGGTGTCGTCATCATGAAGGACTTATGACAGAAATACTCTGCCATGGCCGGTCCCAAGCCCGCATGAGAAAGGAGGAGGGTTGGAGACCGTGGCAAGTCTCCCTAAAATGCAGCCACCTGCCACTCATGGTATTGACGCCTTCGAAAATTATACCGG